TTGGAGCCGTCTCCAAGCATTATTAGTCGAAAGTGGGTTCTTCGTCATCGAAGCAGTGCTTCAGTTGGAAGACGTGCAACTAGGCAAGTCTTCCAACTGGATAACGCTCCTCCACACTGAAACCTAGTACAACAAGCAACGCCTCATTTAGAAGACTTGCACTGAGGTATATCTTCCAGCAGAATGGTGGTCTTTCACACGGAAGCCTAATAAAACAAGCAGTGCTTCAGTTGGAAGACTTGCAATCAGGTATGTCTTCCAACAGGATGGTGCTCCTCCACACTGAAGTCAAGTACAACAAGCTACATTTTAAGGTTTCTGTAATTGTTTCATTTTATTGTTATGTATAGATTATGACAAGTTAGTTAAGACAAGAACATAAAAAACCTGATAAATGTGAAATACCGAAACGTGTTCTTAATAAATATTTCATTTCTAGAGTTCCTCGTGTTTAAAATTTTATACGGTTACTGTTATAAAAATGTAAAAAATAAACAATAGAGAATGTGAGTTACAGCACAAAATAAAACAGTGAATTCAATGACATTCAACCAGAATTTTCGCGCAAAGCTGCACAAAGGGCTATCTGCACAGTTGAGCACAAGGTAACAATCTCAAGAGCGGCACCAACATGCACTGACATGTAAATAGAAGAGACTTGCTTTACTGATGTTACAAGTGATCGTGCGCTTGTATATCGCACTACTGATTAGCCATCTTTTGCTTTTTTTAAAATATACAATATATTCCTGAGTTTTCCAGCAGTCTCATTCCATTTGCAGCCAGTATTAGCTGTAAGTCAGTCACAAATATTATATTGCTGGCATTATTTATTTGTGGTTCATTTGTTTTAGCAATCCAGAGAAAAATTTCTTTAATGATTTCCAGCTCCATCCTTGGGCTGCTTCTAGGAAGCTTGAATGTTTCACCAACCTTATGTAGAATGTTATTCTTCCATGAGAAATTAATTCCCAACCAGCTCTTTTGCTATCTGTGGTGCAGGAACCATATGTGACTATGATGACACATGACTGTTCACCATGGTCTAAAATAGGTGCTACCACATTTGTTTTACTTCACATATTACCCAATCCCTATATTTTCTGTCCAGACCTATTTCTACAGATCTTAATAGCACTAAATGTGTATTACTCCTGAGATGTGGTAGTGACGAATGATTTCGGTGGTGACTGTATAACATCTGTCCAACCATGACTGTCTCTTGAGGAACCATTAAGGCAATCCTTGATGTGGGATCGCTGTGGAGGTGGAATGTCTCAACTGAAAAAAGACAGTGACTCAATGATGTGATGTACGATCTTTACACTGTAAGACCTTAGAGAAGAATTAGGCTTGTTAGTACTGTTGGTGTTCTCCAGCGCTGCTGAAGATTGCGACGTGAAGGAGGCTTTGATGGGGTACATCCAATTTGAAACAAGTTCTTTTGTATCTTTTCAATCTTATATAACCATGGAACACTCATACTGATCATCAGTATTGCATAATCCAGGATGGAGCAGTCAAGGATTTGGTAGAGTATAAGCAGTATATGCACTTAAACTTCCTTCCCGCTTCAAGTAGAGTAGAAGGAAGACAGCTCTTGAGCTACTCTTATCTGATCACATAGTGGTATTTCATCATCACCACTCTTATAGCGCATCCAGTAACTCAAAGAGTGTTTCTGCGACAAAGGGTTAGGACTAAAACATAGAGCTTGATAACTTATATAAAAACTAGGTTAGTCATTGGTCTTACTCATGATCTTGAAATAATTTCAGAGACCAGAGACAGCACTCTTGAAAAATATCAACAATTAACATCACGCCAACCAAACTTCTTTGTTGCAAATTAAATATTACCTGGAGGAGAACTCTAAGTTACCTCATCTACAGCCCAAAACAAATAAAGTGGTGCGGTTTTCACTATTAACCTTTTTTCTCTTTAGAATTCCCAAACCGGTGAAATATAGAATCGTATTTCTTTCTTGATATAAGTTTCTTTTAACCCTATAATTTTGTTCATAATTAAGCACAAAGCTACACAATGGGCTATCTGTGTTCTGCCCACCATGGGTATCTACAGACATACCGCTGTACCACGAGGGGAGGGGCTGTAATTTTAAAAAGTTATTTTTGGAATGTATAAAAGAATTTTGTCTTTTTGTTTGACGATACACAATAACATAATGAAATATTTCTATTTGTATTTAGTTCTTTTTTTCAAAATATTTACTTATTTATTAGTTTATATGCATAGTAAATCTAACATTTTCCAGTCTTTACGGAAAGCTGTAAGCTCGAGGTCTTATAATGTTATAAATCGTGGTCTGTCCCCATGGCAGGCACAACACAAATAGCCCATTTGGCAACTTTACACTAAACTAACAACAAAAAGATAAAGAACATATCATTTTCATCCTACTGATTTTGTCGTTGTTGTTAATTTCGTGGCATTTTAACATTTTGGTGCATGGTTTGGCTCTGTGGTAAACCTATGGATTTCGGAGCTGTCTGGGTTCGAATCCGTATAATACCTTGAAATATTCCCTGCATTTTAAGCTGTAAGGGCGTTATTAGAATGACAATCAATCACTTAGCGTGGATAGTGGGTGGTAGGGTGCTGCTGAATACTGATTGGCTACCTTCTCTCTGGTCAGTAGTCCAAAATTAGGGACGACGACAACAGATAGTCTTAGCAGCTTTGCCATGAATTCAAAACCAAAATATAATTTAAGGTTTTGCATGGGACTTACCTGTGGCTTCCAGGAAATATGTCCAAACCCCCACCCATAACAGATTCGGCCATAGTAAAAGTAGACATCTTACTAAAAACCCATATCATTATAATTATGAATAAATTATTTAGATATCATATAAATCTTTGGATGATTCTTCATTACACGTCTGTTCCAGCAGCGTTATACACCGTACAACTTTATGTAATCTGTATTAATCATGGAGGAAGTGTTTGTCGTATCACGTGACAAAGGAATAGGTGGTACCACTAATATTGTATTGTTATGCAATATTGCATTCGATTCACGTTTTGTTGCATGGACTAAAGTGTGATTTTAATACAAAAGTGTAACCTAGTGTATATATACCGAATAGTCGCACCTATCTATACATATATATTTAAAATTTTTCTTCACATAATTTTCTGCAAAGATTTGATCAGATTTAATTTTCACTTGTGGAAAGAAGATGAAGTCGAATCAAATCTTTTGAGAGTATTAGCTCAACACTATGCAATCAAATCTTCTGAGAGCATTAGCTCAACACTATGCAATCAAATCTTCTGAGAGCATTAGCTCAACACTATACAATCAAATCTTCTGAGAGCATTAGCTCAACACTATACAATCAAATCTTCTGAAAGTATTAGCTCAACAATATACAATCAAATCTTCTGAGAGCATTAGCTCAACACTATGCAATCAAATCTTCTGAAAGTATTAGCTCAACAATATACAATCAAATCTTCTGAGAGCATTAGCTCAACACTATACAATCAAATCTTCTGAGAGCATTAGCTCAACACTATGCAATCAAATCTTCTGAGAGCATTAGCTCAACACTATGCAATCAAATCTTCTGAGAGCATTAGCTCAACACTATACAATCAAATCTTCTGAGAGCATTAGCTCAACACTATGCAATCAAATCTTCTGAAAGTATTAGCTCAACACTATACAATCAAATCTTCTGAGAGCATTAGCTCAACACTATACAATCAAATCTTCTGAGAGCAATAGCTCAACACTATGCAATCAAATCTTCTGAGAATATTAGCTCAACACTATGCAATCAAATCTTCTGAGAGCATTAGCTCAACATTATACAATCAAATCTTCTGAAAGTATTAGCTCAACGCTATACAATCAAATCTTCTGAAAGTATTAGCTCAACACTATACAATCAAATCTTCTGAGAGCATTAGCTCAACACTATATAATCAAATCTTCTGAAAGTATTAGCTCAACACTATACAATCAAATCTTCTGAGAGCATTAGCTCAACACTATACA